GATTTTCTGAAGCACAACGAACAAGTCCTTACATGGTGAACAAATTCTTACATAGTGAATAAGTTCTTATATGGTGAACAGTACAAGGGCAGTCGTCACAGAAACTTTCGGTTTTGATCACGCATTATGAACTATAAACAATCAGTCCAAATATGAATATTCATTTGATTTTTATACTTGACTTATATGTGAATCCCACATTTCTCCCTTATTATTATTATTATTATTTTAATAAAATGCTGAAGTGGTAGGTAGATGCAAGATAAAGGTAGAAAACATAGTTTAGTGCTGTAAGAAAGCAAACATAGATGATCAGGTGTGTGCCTATAAGCTAAGTATTAATCCAAGCTAGACAAGGGCAACAAAACATCCTCGGATGCGGAAGATTTCTCTCAAAACAGAGGGGGTGAGGTTCTAAGCCTCACCTCTGTTGATCCCCAATTTCTCACCTGATGGCCCCCCTGCGACTGTGCCTGTCTTAGGTTGTTCCTCCCTTGAGGAATCTTACCCATCTCTGGCTAAATGACAAACCTTTTTATTGTGATAGCAATCTAACCTTTTCAAATTATTTTCCTAATTGCAGGCATATATATTCAGCATTGATGCCAAAGAACTAAATATCTTACATGAAATGAAAGGTAAAAAGGTAATATGTCTCTACCTTTGGTATCACTAAGGGGCTTTGTGAGCAACACTGCTTTCTTCTCAATGACTGGATCTGGTTTGCTTTGGGGCAGCTCGGCTCTTATTTTGGATCTTCTGTCTGTGCCGTGGACCTCAATGCAGATGGCTTCTCAGACCTGCTGGTGGGAGCCCCCATGCACAGCATCGTCAGGGAGGAGGGCAGAGTGTTTGTGTACATCAACTCCGGCTCGGTAAGTCTGATGGCCCGTCAGCTGCCAAGCTGCTTATGGGATGACAGACACTAAAGCTCTTGTTACACGGAGTTCTGAGCCTATAGATTCTTAGGCTTGTTTAACTACCAAAAGTAAAAATTTTGGTTTTGTACTGATGCTCTGAAAGTACAGTAGTAGAATATGATGATGAATGTGCAGCTGTCTTGTTTTGCTACTCCAGGAGTAGGTGATCAGTCTCCTGGAGTTTCTCTATTTACAGGTTATATGTGTTCATTCAAGTAGCTGAAGTTACTTTCAGTTTTATTATGTCACAAATCTAATTTGAAAGAATGATTTTTATATCTCTCTCAAAATGTGGATTTTTTATTTGAAGGTTCTATAGCAAATATCTTTATATAATTTGAAAATAATAAAATATTAGAAGTAGATGATAAAGGTATGAAATGTTTTCAATTTCTTGATTTTAAGACAGTTGGAAACAAGATGTGTTTTGATGAAATGTTAATTTGCACAAATCATGTACTATTTTCATGATAAGAATATAGAATTGGCATAGTTTATTCCAAAGTGGATATAGTTGTTGTAGAAATATGTAATTACTACTGTGGTTGAGTTTTAAATTGGGGGGGATATTTTGGAGTAGAAATTGACCACTTGACAGTTCATTTTGAAGAGTTTTTCTGGCCTTATCTTGCCAGACTATCTTCTTGGCATTAAAACAATGAACTGATAGGGCCTAACTGGAATCTTCTTGTCTTGATCCTTTGATTGAAGAGCAAGAACAGATTTGTGAAGAAATTCATTTCTTAAAGAACAGTATTTTTGGTCAGAATTCAGTGATGTAAAATCTGTTTCAAGAAAGAATGTGTAATCCTACTTAAATGGTTTCAGAGCATTTAATAAGTTCTTACATTAAGCATCATATTAAACTCTTTACAACTTAAGGAAGAAAATATTTAGTCTCATAAAGCTGAGAGATTCTTAAAGTTCCAAATATAGAGCAGGAAAAAGTTATGAACTGGGATTTCCTATACTGTGCTTAAACCTAAATTTAATAGTAAAGGCATATCATCTGCAAAGTGACCATTCATATCTCATTAATGGTGATGTCAGGCATTACATTTTCTTGCATAGATATTTCACATTTCCCTGTCTATCAGTGGGTTTTTTTATACTACCTATACTGTCATTCTGTGTATTTCTCTTTCCCTTCTCTTTAGAAGTAAAGTTTTTGAAAACAGTTTAAAAAGTAGCATACACATCTAAAATGAGGCAGTACAGGACCATTTTTTTTCTCAGTTGAAATCAGAAGGAACCCCAATATGAAAATGATACAGTTGTAGCTCTTTTGCTTAAAGGTCATAGAGGAGCCCTACCCACTAGGTGACTTTTTGTTCTTCCCTTTCTCCTACCCTGAGGCACCACTTGAATACTGGGGTTAATTTCAAAATTGACTTCACCTTTTAACACTTCTGACATAGGTTACTCCTTTATTCTTTTCTATCTTCCTATTAACTCTTTAAGATAGCATTAACTGCTACCTGGAATTATGTATTTATTGGTTTGGTTCACTATTGTCTGTTTTTCTACTGGAGTGTAGACACTGTGTGGAAAGGATTGTCTGTTTTATTTACTGCTGTTCCCTCAGGGTTTGAAAGAGCCCTGGACAAATAGGTGCTCAGCAGTTTTTACAAATGAATTCATGAAAGAATGATGCTTAATGAATCTAGTTTCCATCTACTTCTAAAATAGCTTACAAGGGTCCACAGCAAAATCTTGGTCACCATTCTCTGTGACTGGAAAACACTTAAAGCGGAGTGATTTCCACTTTTTCAAACTCATTGTCCCCACCCCACCCCCTGGAACTTCAGTGCCATTCTATTGTCTTGGGTCTGCACCTTCTTGTCCTCCCTGGAATCCCTTCTCCCTTCTGTTCTTTAAATTGGGGGTTTCCCTTGGAGCCAAGCTCTTGTATCCCTTACTCTTTTGATTGAATCGTCCACTGTTTTTGGTGCCAGCGATTGCCTCTGAAGAGAGGATTCCCAAACTTAGTTCATCTAAAAATATTAAGCAAATGACATTTAGTGAGTATCAGAACTGTAACAAGAAACATGAAAGAGCTGAGAATAATCTCAGTCCTGACCTCCAGGATATCAGAATCTAGAAAACACACAAACACAAGTGAGTGCAATGGTAAATTGTAGATTGTTAGTATATACAGAACCAAAGCTGTTCTCTTTGGCTCAAGAAGGTTTCACATAAGAAGTATTACTTTAGCAAGGCAAGTATAGGAATTTTTTAGTTGGAAAATATAAGGTGAAGGACACTTCACAAAGGGTAGAATATGTGTGTGCTTCAGGAATGATGAATAGACTTGTTTGGGAAGAGGAAAGCATCTATGATGAGCAGTGCATAGACTGGATTTTTTCCTGCCAGGAAGTAACATTATCAGAATTTGAAAAGAAGTCTCTTGGCTTTCACTCTAACAGCTCTTTACTGCAACATTATTTAATGTTTTCTCATAATAACTCATTTTCCAACTTCAGAGATAGCAGTAGATCTGTCCCTGTTCCACTGCTGCTAGAATACGGTCCCACAGGGCAGCTTCAGTTGTGTCAACTCCTCAGCTCAGAAACCTCTGGTAGCTTCTGTTGTTTTTCTAAATTAAGAGTAAAACTCCCTCAGCATCAAAGTCCCATATAATGAGATTCCAATCTGACATTTTTTTGTCTCATTCATAATACACACCATTCATAAGAGCCAAACTCTTTGGACTCTGTATTTTGCTGATCATTTTCTCTGTATATGAGATCGTGCCTGTCCTTCAGTAGCCATCTTGAGTACCTTCTCCTTTATGAAATCTCTCCTGGCTTTCAATTGGATATTCTCTCCTTGCTTCTCAATATTGCAGAGCAGTCTTCTAAGGCATTAACATACTTGTGCTGAGCTTTCCGTGTATCTGTGGGCTTCTCAAGAAGGGTAGCATGGCTCATACACAAAATGTCTTGTCCCCTGTCACCCATTCACTCTTCGCATAGTTCATTGACTTTAGTAGGAACTTGATAAATATTTGCTAAATTGATTATCAGAATGATTTATTGAATTTTCAAAGCCAGGTATCACAAGTTTGGCATTTTTTTATGTCCTCTGAGCTCTAATCAGACTATTATAATATGGGTTGACATACTTGATAAATATTTATTGAATTGAATGGGGATGTGTGTGCTAAAGCTCAGTCTATAATTTGTTCAACTTATTTGAAGCATTAGGAAAAAATCCATATCCAATGACAACAGTTAATCATGAGTACCGTTGTCAGGGGTGCTATAGTGATACCTTCCCCCCCCTTTCTATCCAGGGAGCAGTAATGAATGAAATGGAAACAGAACTTGTTGGGAGTGACAAATACGCTGCGAGATTTGGAGAATCTATAGTTAATCTTGGCGACATTGATAATGATGGCTTTGAAGGTAATTAAAATTATCTGATTTCTGCCTTTTCAATAATACATGGAAGAGAATATGGTTGGCATTTTATGTTTTTTCCTTTCTATAGAAAATGGGGCCAGCAAGTTATGCTAATTTGTTTTTGCTTCTTTTTTTTTAGTGTTCTACCTGACTTCTCAGTTGTTAGCTATTGATTCTTACTGTTGTTAACCACAGGATGGTATTCAAAATATGTTTTTCATTGTTTGTAAGGCAGCATTGGTTATAAGCTGTATTATGTGCCCCTAAAAACTAGCTATTAAATTGTAATATCCACCATTTCTCTTTTTAAGATAGATCCTGATTTCAGAAATGTTAAAATGTTGTGGGGCAGTGGGGAGTTTTTCATAGACTCTGGACTTAGCCATCAGTCCAGCAAACACACTGACAAAGCTGCAGAGCTGGAGCAGAGTTCTGGAAGCCCACTTCAGTGCCAGGCACTCCTCATTCAGCTAATACATTGAAGGAGGATTTGGGTATCCCAGAAGAATGTCACGAGGAGTGGTGAGGGAGCAACTGGCAGGCTCAGGGACAGTGGCTATTTACCAACTGACATGGAAGCATTTCAAGAATGGAGTGGATGGTACTGTCATAACTGTGCTTATTGGCTGGTTATCAGCCCTGCTGCTGAAATACATTTTTCTACCAGCCTCCCCTCTTAAATTTTCCTTTTTTAAATCTAGTGTCGAGTGAATCAAGTCTGCTAAAACTGTGCATAACATGAATTGAGAGGAGAGTGCAATTCCTAAATTCAACAAATGAGATCGGGCAGTCTTTCTCTGTCTTGACTTAGTCACTTAATATAATGCCCTCAGAGTCCATTCATGTTGTCATAAGTGACAGGATTTCTTTCTTTTGTTATGGCTGAATAGCATTTTTGTTTTACTCATGAGTAGGCATTTTCTACGTTTTGGTACTAGCAAGACTCATGTTTTTTTTGCTTTCTCACAGGTGTCTTTAATTCCATTGTACAGTATCTGAGACAGCAGGCATCTACATTGCATTTTTCTTTATGTATTTCTGTATTACTTTTCCCCATCTTCTATTTTATTTTATTCTCGGGTAGATGGATGAAATTACTTTGTGTTATGGCAGAGTGTGTGGAATTATAAGAAAGGGGATGAAAATCCCACCTGCTCGGTTTTCTTCTACCTCCAGTCTTAGATGCAAATCAGACTTAATATCCTTCAGCTATGCACAATTTTCTGGTACTTTGCATTGCAGACCTAAGTTATTCTTACTTTGATCATGACATTGTTTTATTCTTCAAAAGGAAGAAACTCTGGCTATATTTCCTGTGTCCTTAGAATGCAAAGCAAGCAGTTTTCTAAGGAGAAAACCAATCAGTTTGGCAATGGTCCAGCATAAAAATCTCAACAAAAGTATGAGAAAGTAATGGTGTAGGTAGGTGGATAGGTAGGTAAATAGACTGACTTATGTGATTGGCATGACTGACTGACAGACAGATAGCATTTTGGGTTTCATCCATAAGATAAATTGGTAAAACCACTTATTTTTGGTTTAGGTTTTCTCACCTTGAGCCTTATTACTTGACTTCTGGACTATATGTTTGAATAATTTTTTAGTGAAACCATAATAAAATTCTATGATTGTAAATTATAAGCTGTATCATGTGCCCCTGAGCTAAATATTGATATAATATTGAATCATATAACTGAGCATTTCTGTGATACAGAACAGGAAAGGGGCTCAAGGAGAGGAAAACACTCAATGTAATCTCTATTGTTAATGATTTTGTAGAGCGTGGTGGTGGAATAGCACAGACTCTGGCCCGCCAGGCTAAAATGCCAGCTTCGCCACTTCCTGGCTCTGTGACCTCAAGCAAGTTACAGTCTGTGCCAGTTTCCTCATCAGCAAGCTGAGATAAAAAAAAGTATTTGATATAGTTCTTGTAAGTTACTTGAGTTAGTATGTATAAGCTTCTAGCACAGTGCCTGCATTGTAAACATTACATGTATTAGCTGATGTTAAGATTATTATGATTATACTAATGATGATTGTTATGATTGGTACTAACAGTGAAATAAAACATTCAGATGAAAAGTAAAAATAATTGTCAAGTATGAATGTGTTCTGTATGTTGTATACCAAATTGAGTTGTATAAGCATGGAAAGACATTTTATTATTTATTGATAGTATATATTTTCTTCATTTCATAATGATAGCTAGAACTTCAGCATATTTCATTACATATCCAAATATAATCCTAGGAAGTAAGGATTTGTTTGGAACTATGTGAAATATATAAGACATGACATAGAAGATGGCTGAACATTGAATATACCCTAATGTCTCCCTCTTGGGATCACATTGTTCTGGGTCTCTCTAATATTTCAGCAGAAAAGGCTTATCTGTATTGTTTCATGTTCACTTGAATAACTTGTGCCTTAAAGCACCAATGCTAATAATTGATACTGCAAGAATTTTTGTATAGGAACAACTTGATAACTCAGACCTGCAATCTCTCTTCGTATGTTATCATCATAGAATTATAGTTACCAAAGACTTAGCCGCAATGGTTGAAGTATAAATTCAGTCCTGATTAATGACATTGCTAACTGGTTTTGTCTTCAGGGGCTATAGGATGCTTCTCTCCCATTCTTTCCCTTTATAACCCTCTTCCTCTCCTCTTCTTCCTCTTTTTCCTGCTCTTTCCCGCTCTGTTCCTTTGTGTATGTAGACTGCACATGCATGGCTCCAGCTATCCCAAAGCAGTCCCCCTCCCTCCCGTGTGCTGTGCTGCCCTTCTCTCCCTCACTGTTGCACAGGCTGTTTCCTGTGTCTGCTTTCTTTGCCCATCTGGCTATGACCTAGCAATACTTTTTTTTAATTGAAGTATAGTTGGTAGACCATGCTATATAGGTTTCTGGTATTCAATATAGTGATTCAGCAATTATATAATTACAATATGCTCACTATGATAAGCATAGTTGCCATCTGTCACCCTACAAAGTTCTTATAATATTATTGACTATATTCCCTATGCTATGCTTTTCATCCCCTGACTTACTTATTTTATAATCAGAAGTTAGTCCCTCTTTATGCCCTTTACCGTTTCACCCATTTCCCTCCCCTTTGGCAACCACCAGTTTGTTCTCTGTGAGTCTATTTCTGGTTCATTTGTTTGTTCATTTGTTTTGTTTTAGATCCCACATACAAGTGAAATCATGGTATTTGACTTTGTTTGACTTATTTCTCTAAGTGAGCATAATACCCTCTAGGTCCATCCATGTTGTTGCAAATAGCAAGATTTCATTCTTTGTTATGGCTGAGTGATATTCCATCGAGTCAATGTACCATATCTTCTTTATCCATTCATCTGTTGATGAGCTCTTAGGTTGTTTTCACATCTTGGCTGTTGTAAATAATGCTGCAACTTTAATCTCATCCTGAGCATCTTTTATGAGGAGCTCACTCTAATTTCTACCACCTTCTCCTTGCATGTTATTTGGGTTTTACTTGCTGTTCTTCCTCACTAGACTAACAGTTCCCTTTTTTTTTGTGGTTCTGCCTTGTATTGCCAGCTCCTGGAAAGTGCCCAGAATACAGTAGATGCTCAGTAGCTGTCCACTAAATATATAAGTGAACGTGTGTATTTGTATATGAAAATTTAAGATAATTTTCACAAGTCAAAAGAGAGTAATCTTAGTATGTCTAAACAAAGTAAGTATAAAACAAATTTCAGATGAAAATGGAAAAAGAATTTGCATTTTGAAAATTGTACAAAGTTTGACATAGAATTATATAACGAAGACTTTTTAATCATGATGGAATAGCAATCAAAAATTAAAACTATAGTTGTTAAAAAGGTTTTGGACCTGATAAATATTAATAAATAACAATATTATGAAAGCAAACTTTCTGTATTTTGAGTTTCTATTAAAGTAGTAAGAAAATATTGCATATGAATTAATGTATGCATGCACCAAATAAATATAATGCTTGGTAAAAATTATGAAATGCTCTTGCAACAATAGAATATTATTTTTCTATGTGCTGTATATTTGTAGCACTTAAGCATTCATAGTTTCTATTTTTCTCATTTTCTTATATCAGTTGATCTTTCTTTTTTTCTCCTGATACCGTAATCTGATGTGAATATCAAAGTCATTAAGGTGCTGCAGTGATTATTTTACAGAACAAATTCACTTTCTGAAATCTAGTTCGTGTGTATGTATGCCTGTGTGTGTATACAGATATCCTTTACAAATGCCTTAATCACTTTCATTGGAACAGGAATTAATTTAGAAGTCATTTTGCAAATAAACTAAAGCCCAGGGCTCAACATAAAGGATTCTTGTGGTTATAGTATTCATAGATGATAATAACTTGTTATGTGCTAGGCACTGCTCTAAGCACTTTACATGAGTTATGTCCTTCTCACCTGCTGAGAGCAGGTTTTCTTATGATCCCATGCTGTAGGTGAGGGAAGAAAGACACAAAGTGGTTAGGAAATGCGTCTGGCCTAGCACAGCTGGGCACAAGGGAGTGCTGGGGTCAGGCCTTGGCAGTCTGACTGTAGAACCCATGCCCTTAACCATTCTGTTTAGACTGCCTCTCAGACCCATTTGCTCTGCTTCTTTCATGCACAGACTATTTTGCACAATCCTGTTCTTTGTTATGATGATAACAGTATTTTGTAGTTATTTTTTGTCTAGTGAGAAAATTGTTAGTTCTTTCATAACAAGTTTTTCTTATGTGACATGGATACAGGAGCACAAAGGTCAGTCAGAGTTGCATTCTCTGTATCAAGAATTTATTTTCTGTCTAAATTCTGAATAGATGTTGCTATTGGAGCTCCACAAGAAGACGACTTGCGAGGCGCTATTTATATTTACAATGGCAGAGCAGATGGAGTATCATCAGCATTTTCACAGGTAAAACACTCTTCTATTTTCAAAAGCATTAATAACAAAAGCTTTCTGGAACTTCTTGGGCTAAAATGGACTTATTTTTCTTAATTTTTTCTTTCAAATATTTAATATTCTAATTTACGAGTTCCTTATGATAATGGTAGGTAGTCTCATTGATAACTCTTCGAAGCCTTTTTTTTTTAATGGGTAAGAAAGAGCTCTGGTTCACCTCCATTCTATTTTGTCTTTAACCTATTAAAGACTTTTCTCTGCATTTCACCAGATTTACGTCCTGAAGTAATACACTATCCCCAATAAGCCTATTTGGATTTGATTAACCATGTCTTGCATTGTGGCTAAAGCTCCGTATTTTGTGGATATCACACAGGGACAGCAAACACAGATACTCTGTATTCCTTGCAGGTCAGAGGAGTAAGACAAGAATACTTTAATAAACGTCCCTGATTTAACTGATCTCACTTTAATATTTAGACAAATCAGGACATTTCAGTACATGGAAACACTACATACACATACAGAGAAGAAAAGATTTTCCAAAGATACTTTTTTGGAAGTATTAGCTAATATGATTATTTTGTTTGGGTGAAACAGACAAATAGTTCTATATATTTAGCATGAAAGATAAAGTCTAGTAAAAAATATGTATTTTTCTTAGAAGATAGCAGCCTGATACTTACTAATCCATACTGAACATGAAATTAGATACAGGGAATAGGACCCACATGCCTGACTTGTGTCCTCTTCACATGCTAGGATGCAATCTGGCTTAAGAGGGTGGCTTTCATCATAAGCTTGAGGTTCTGCTAAGTGATTACAGTTGTTTTATTTTCCATATTACTTGTTTGGTTATTCATGTTGGCCAGGGAAATAAATATAGAGCCTGAAAGAAACTGGGGAGAGGGTGTCATGACTATTTTAGAAGGTCTATAGTATATAATTTTCTCTTTGCTTACAGAGTAAAGAAATGCATTTTTTTCTAGTCAAAAAATAGATGTCACCCATCCACTTCAAGCTGGAAACTTTTGTTTCTCTTGGATACAAGTATTTGACTTAACTAAATGAATTTTGTTAATAAATGTGCCAAGGAGTAAGAAGGCTCATTATTTAATTAAATTATAGCTTTCCTGTAATATTAGGTGTTCAAAAACTGCTTCCCACTCAACTTACCTATTTTTTCAGAGAATTGAAGGACTCCAAATCAGCAAATCATTAAGTATGTTTGGACAGTCTATCTCTGGACAAATTGATGCAGATAATAATGGATATGTAGGTAAGTATAAAATTGAAATAAGCTCTACTGTGATGTTGCTTTATTGCAAAGTTAGAAGTAAAACAGGTGTGGAGGAGTTCTGATTTTCTGGTGATATTTTTCCCTTCATTTTTAAAGGTTTTTTTTTTTATAATTCAAGGATGGGTCAGAAATGATCCAATAATTCATGAGTTACACTGTTACTTACATTTTATTCCTTGTTCTTGAAAAAAAAAATTAAAAGCACCCATGAAAATAAATCAAACATATGATGACGAAAGATTTTTTTGTATTGTACTTTGAAAGGAGATTTCTGGGTGAATGTTTCTAGTCTAAAAATTGATTTTTGTTTTAGTAGCTTATCTTTATACCATAAGTTTTTATCATAACGTTTGTTTATATCGTAACGGGAAGAATTTCATTGTAAATGAATAGATTCAAACAAATGTGGAATGAATCTTAAGATGTAAGCATATTTTTTCTAATTAATTTTCTATAAATAGTGTTTTGATATAGTCAAACAGTGATATGTAGTTCAGTATTTAAGGCTGAAAAAAATTCTATTTGACTAACAATCATCATTAATCTGTGTTGTTTTTATCCTCCAGATATAGTGGTTGGTGCTTTTCGGTCCAATTCTGCTGTATTGCTAAGGTAAGATTGATACAATTCACTGCTTAGTGACAATTGGGCTGAATTGTAAATGATTGAAGGCAATTTTTAAAATCAGCAGTAATTATGATTAACATTTTTAGTATTCTGAACTTTAATTATTGGACTTTATGATACTTTTCCTTCCTTACATAAAATATAATTAAATAAACCATCAGACAAAAATCAATATTTTTAGAAAATTGAATGAAAAGTTCTCTTGATTGATGCCTGGAAATGTAATTGAGTTTGTATGCATGTACTCTTAATAAGCAGTTTCATGAAATTACTTGGTCAGTGGAAACTGACAAAACAAACACAAATTTTTCTTAAGGAAAAACAATACTGTAATTAATATTGCTAATTTTATTTTCTTCTTAGGACAAGACCTGTAGTGATTGTTGAAGCTTCTTTAAACCATCCTGAGTCAGTAAATAGAACAAATTTTGGCTGTATTGAAAATGGATTGCCATCTGTGTGTATGGATCTAACCGTCTGTTTCTCATATAAGGGCAAGGAGGTTCCAGGTTATATTGGTAAGGGTGCCCTTACAGAATTAATGCCTGAGAGAGTGTGTACTCCAGTCATTAGTCTCACGATCATCTTTTGAACCCCCACTGTGTTTCACCATATTGCTGAACACACCTTTCTTTTCCTTCTTCTGGATTCTCACATTGTTCTAACTAATGAGTTGGATGCATTAAGAAGCTATAGCTGTACAGGGATTATAGCAAGAAGTAAAGCAAGAAGGGCCACTTGCTATACTCTTTAAGGTGAACTAACTGAGCTTGATCTGTAAGATCTCATTCAAGTAGAAAGAACATTACCACAGCTCTTCCTCTGAAACCTGGCTCCTTAGAATGTAGAACTGGCTTATGTTGGAAATCCTGGAAGGGAAAAGATTCCTTTCTTCATATTCTATCTTGTTGGAGTGATTGAAGAAGCATACCTCAAATCTAGCCCCTGATGGTGATTTCTGTACATTACACACCTCTTAAGGATTTTCTATGAGTATCAGATCCTGAGAGTCATACCAATTTCCCTATACAGGGGTAACTCTCAGTTATCTGCTCTGGAGAAAGTAGCATTGATGTGGCTTATCCAGAATTGTGGCTCATTCCAAACCACATGTATGTGACTTCATGAGTATTACATTTTTTCTAGAAGATTAATGTTCTTAATTATGCTAATATTTAAGCTAATACTTAAGAGTAACTACTAATGAACCCAGGCCATGGTAGGGGAGAAGCATACCTGGGTTTATCATTTGGACATTAATAATTCACAAAGTTCATGAGCCCCACAAGACCTATCAAGTGTTGATTGTACATATGACCTTACAGGTTCTCATCATCTCATATCATGAAGGTCAGCAAATAATTATTAACCAAACTATGGGTATGTGACAGAAGTCTCAGCTTGAATTAGTCTGTAATGGGAAGTACAGAATGAGAATGGTATCTCTACCTTAGGTCCGACTAATGTTGAATAGCGCTCTGCCAAAGTCCTAACTAGACCAGCACCGATAGGGTGGGGGGCAGATCCTTCATCTAGTTACAGGTGGGAGAAGGGGCAGTTTCAGAGCATGACCTCAGTCACACAGTAACACAGACAAGCTGATGGATTTTGTGAAAAAAAGTTAAGTAGGTATGACTATTTCCCTTTATGTAAAATCAATGCTTGTACTACCAATTCCACTGTGACCAGATATTTCTAAAAATGGCTGAAAATAAATATATGGAACTCATAAATAATCACAGCATGGTTACAGAAACGTGCTTTATAGTTGTCATAAAATGACTCCTTGGGTGAAATAATTCACATGGTAAGCATGTTTAATAAAATCAAGACATTTTGCCTCTTACTGTGAGTGGATTTTATTCACCCTTTTTTCATTTACTTTTTGTCTGAATTTGGGGTGATGAATTTGTAGATGGCCATTTCAATGGCAGCTCCATCTCTGAGGCATTGAATCTCAGTTATTGTAATTTTGAAGCCAATTGATATGGACTTTATTTATTCTGTAAATAAAAAAATGTTAAAAGATTTATCTGAAATTTGTAGTAATATAGGTTTTGTACTTATATTTCCTTGTAGGAAGTAGACAAAATCTTTCCAGAAAAGCACATTACTCCTAACATGTCAGTGAACACCTCAGGAATTAAATAATTTAAAATATCAATTATGAGTTATTGTTCCTACATAATGAGTGACACCTCAGCACACTATTAGATGTAGATTGTTTTGCAAAAAAAAAACCTTTTGGTTAAAAAATAGGTGATACTTTCTTGTAAAATCAGGCTTGGAATTTTTTTCTTGTTATTTGTGAATTTCCTCATGTTTTTGCTTATTGAAGGTCTTCTTTAGCAGACGGTTATTTACTATGTCAGATTTGATATAAGTTCTTGACAGACTGCCAAAATATTTACTGAGAGAATGCCTTTATTTCTTTATTTTTGCACAAATCAACTCTGGAGGCTAAAGGAGAAACCAATAAAAACATGGAGGGACTAACCAGGGCTTAAGTCTGGAAAAGAAGATGTCTTTGAGTAAAGTGTTTTTATAGATTTGACCTTTGAATCTTGTTTGCCTTAAAAACCCAAGAAACCAAAAGAAAAATAGCAATCTCTCAATTGGAAAAAAATGGAAATAAATATGAAATTAGTTGTGTAATTACAGAAGATAAAATTATACCAAGTGACATATTTGAGCACTGTAATCTCCTTGTACTTCCTTAACTAGACTTGGATGTTCTAAGGACAAAAAGGACTCCCAAGAAATCTGAAACTTTACTCAGAACTTTTATTAATAGTAACAATTTGGGTGTTGTAGTTTTTAAATGTTTATATATAGGAGGATTAAGCAGACAACTAAGGATATTAAATCTGTTAAAAATAGAAACCTAGAGACAATTTATAAACTTACTTATAAAAACCATTTTTGAAATTTGTATTTTTCAATTGTTTATAGTTCAGGTTAACTTTAAAAGGCTATTTAATGAAGACAATTTAAGATATTTCCAGTATTTCATATAACTTTGACTATTACCACTTCAATAATGAATAAATGCTTTTAGTAATTACTTATATTAATTGCAATTCTCTACGCAATTTTGCAGTTTTGTTTTATAACGTGAGTCTAGATGTGAACCGGAAGATAGAGTCTCCATCGAGATTTTACTTTTCCTCTAATGGAACATCTGATGTGATCACCAGAAACATAAAGGTGTCAAGCAAAGCAGCTAACTGTAGAACACATCAAGCCTTTATGCGGGTAATGTAAACTAGTTTTTATTAATGAGTATGTAAACTTTAATATTATCAATACAGTAAAAAAGTTTATTGCATTGCTAACTTTGTATAAAACATAGTTTAAAGCAGGTGTTATTGTCTCCTGAACTAGCTGACCAGTTGTTCCAGAGTCAAAATGTTAGACAATCCTGTGACCTGGATTCAAAGTCCAGTTTTTGCATCTTCTTAATTTCACATTATCATCACATTTTACTGGGTCACTATTTTTAAAGGTTTGCCTTTTCCTTTTTACAATTGAGTTTACCTATCCCTGTTTGTACCCTTGCCTAGAGATGTAGATATTGAGCAGCTCTGCTGAGCTTCAGATCTATTCTGTAGCAGGTTTAATTTTTTGCTGGGGGGCTGGCAGGGGTCACAGGGAAGTTGCTTTGTTTTTCATGCGGCTCTAATAAAGCAGACTCCAACATGCCTGCTCTTGGAGTACGTCTCTGTCTCTGGGCCAGCATTGTGAGTGATGTCAGTGGGAACTCACACAGTTGTGCTGCTGGGGGGATCATCTGTGGGCCAGGACAAGGACTCTCATGATGGCTTGGGGTATGTTCTGCCAAACACAGCTGATTTCATGTTTCTTTTATTAAAACGCTCATTCCCAAACTGATCATCAGATTCCTCACATTGGTCAGGTTTTATCATATGAAGCAGTGCCAGGCCTTTTTCATTAGGGAATGGTGTACTTCATCAGAAAAATCTATTGTCACAAAAATGCCAAACTATTCCCAGGAGCCCTTTCTGGGATCTCAAATAGGAGCTTCAGCTTAGAACTTAATTTTCCCTTACATACTCATTCCAAGCAAATGCAAACAAGCATCAAGACTCCAACACTATTAAATGCTAAGAGCAATAATCCCTCTGCTATTGCCTCATTTCCCCTAACGGTTTTTATTGTCATATTAGAATAAAGCTGGTAGGTGGTTGAGAGCCAAGAGTATAGAACGATATTACTGTAACCATCATTTATGTGGTAGGGATTAAAGAGGGGCTTTTTTTAATCCTATATAGTTGTGATTTTATGTACATTAGTCAGTTTTAGAGACTAACTTTGAGACCGTTTTAAAGGCAATAAAAGGGCCAACATTATATATTCACAAAGAAAGATCCTGTATTGAGTTTGTATAAATGGCACCAAATTGAACTATTGATTTATTTAGTTTCTTGGCATTGTTCCTATGAGTAAGAGTTCATCAAAATTGTACAGTTTCTTTGGAATAAATGTGTAAGAGGTGTGACAGTTTAACAGCGGATTCTGGTTTCTGTTTGTGGCACGTATACTTGTGGTGTCACCGTTGTACTGATGGCAGCGGGTTACAGCCATTGTCTTTGGGCCACATTGTCAATGTCAGATAAAAGCACTTCACTCTGGGATAGGTGTATTAGTAGGAACTTTTGAAAAAGGTTTTTTATTGCCTCCAGTATTTTTTTCCTTTCTTAAATTACCTTGCTTTTGTTCAGGACAACTTGAACTTACATATAGAAAGGGAAAAGGCTACTCCAACCCTCTCACTTGCAACAAATCCATGGTGGACGTAAGACCCACAGAAGCAGCTGCCCCGTCCTTGAGTTCTATCAGAGAGCTTTAGCTGTTATTTAGGAAGCTATGGAAATAGAGTGAGTACATTTTCCAGCCCCACCAGCACGGTAGCCTGAGGCATTTGGAAATGTTAACACTGCTATGCCTCTACAGTCTGACAGCAGCCCATATTCTTCTACCTTCTTAATAGTAGTAGAAAAAAAGAGGGACAGTGGTCGGGATGCCTGAATTGTTCCTTTGTCCCATAAAACATGTCCAATA